GTGGGAGCCGCCCGCACCCTCCTCCCAAGCACGGCCTGGACCCGGGGGCGGGGGGCCGCCCGCGCGCCCGGCCGGGGTGCCTGGACCAATTCCGGGCCTCTGCCCGCGCCTTTCTGTCGGGGGCGGGGGACCAGCCTCCTCCGGCCGGGCTCCCCCCCGCCCTTGGGCCGCGAGTCCCGCGCTGAGAAATTCCGTTATCCCGGGAATTTCGGGGGAGCAGTGCGGGGCAAGAGCAAGGCCGCTTTACGCGGCGCCTCCCAAAACCGGATGAGAACGCGGGGCTCCCGGGCCCGGGCCGTCTGCGCAGTTCGGGGTGGTAACCGTTTGGGTGTCTCCCCTCGTTTCTTAAAATTCACGCGAGCACCTGGCATCCCCGCTGGGCGCGCGGCCGGGTAGGCGGCACCAGGGCTGGGGTCGCAAGAACACACCCTGGGCTGGGACAGTGTCCAAGCCTTAAGGCTGCTTCTCTTCCCTCGCAGGTGTTCGCGGTGCGATCTGGCGGAGCCACGGGGGTGGTGGTTAAAGGCCCGGATGACAGGAACCCCATCTCCTTCAGGTAACAGTATTAACATGCAGAGTAAGTTCGACATGTACATGGCGTGTTCTGCTTCTCATGCCGGAGGTGGTGGTCACATTTGTCCTCTGCCTCCCGTAAGAGCTCTGAAGCCGGGTGTGCCGACCTGTGCCCGCAGGGAGAGGACCGGACCGCGGACACGCGGACACCTCGTCCCAGCGACATGGTGGAGGGAGGCGTTCCCCTGGATTTGGGAACCGGATCCTCCCCAGCAGGGCACCGCTTCCGGCACTTGAAGCTAGCAAGTCCTTGCGCTGTTGGCGTGCCCGTGTCCTTTCCTGACGGGGACCTGCCTTCCTCCGGTCTTTGCAGAGTGTCTGGAAGGTGGAGGGGCTCCTGGTCAGGGTTTTCCGGTAAAAATGTGTGTTAAGAAAACCAGCTCCGACTGTGCTTAAGGCGACTGGCGGTCCCAGCTTATGCACGCTGAGCCGGGTCATTATGAAGAGCAGCTCCGTTCACTTCAGATCGCAGTGGTGGTGACACCCTGCTATGAGGATGGTCACCATAACCCTGTGGTCACAGAAGAAAATACACTGGAGGCCCTCAGTTCGGGGGGGACTTTGAGTTTTTTTAGCTGGCCTGTCCTACAGGAAACCTTTTTGAAGTAGAAAACGAATCCCGTGGGCAGCGCCCGTGCGAGGCATCAGGCGTGTGAAGGCTTTGGATCGCCGGGCGCCCTTCTGCAGAACGCAGAGCTGTGGTGTGGAGACAAGTGAGGGGCACACGTTTCCTGTGCAAGTGCTGTGCCAAGAGTGTGGGCACAGGAGAGGCAGCATTGATCGTGGAGCAGGAGGGGAAGGCCTCAGAGAGGAGGGAGGCGGCCCTCGAGCAAAGGTTGAGAGCTGGAACGGACGGTTCTAGGTGGGGAAGAGAGGAGGCGGCTTCCGGATGGAGAGCACCCCACGGGCAAGGGCGAGCGAGCCCCGGGTGGGAACTCCAGGTCTGTGTGACTGACGCCCATGTGTCCGTGCGGGAAGGGGAGGCAGAGGTGTGGCCACTGGCAGGGGTCAGCTTGAACCTACGTGTTCTGCTGCGGAATCAGGGCTTTATCTGGTTCCTGAAGCGGTGAGGTGGGCGTGGCATGATCCTGTCAGTGTTTGGAAAGACCACGCTGATCGTGGCCTTGACACTGAATTAGTTGGGCGCCTGTCTGTCGGGGGAGAGGATGCCGGGATCTGGGCCAGCGTGGTGCAGACCACACTGAGGGCAGTGGAGACTGGTATCGCAATAAGAGTGAGCCCATGAGGGCCCAGATTTGGGGGCTCAGTAGTGTTTGAGGGGGAAGATACTGAATTTACCCTCTTTTAAAAACATGGTATTTATTGTTAATAGCCTTACTGTGGTATAATTATTAACTGAACATATTTAACAGTCATTGATGAGTTTTGACGTGTGTGCACCGTGAAACCATCACCATAATCAAGAGAACGAGCACCCGTACCGGGGCTTCCACACGCCCTCCGTGAGCCTCTCTTGATTTCCCTTTGTTGGAGGTGGTTGTGAGGCTTCTGGGCGGGGCCTGCTTGAGCCCCGGGGAGTGGGTCCAACGCTTGGTTCAGAAGCTTTGCTGTCCCAGCGATGGAGAAAGAAGGCCGTCATCTGTGGAGGTGCCTGTGGCATCGGAATACCTCCTCCAGGCCACCGCCATAGAGCGTCAGATACAGTGGGTTGTAATGTGTTTGCTGGTGGAGGTCTTGCCTTCACTTTGTAAAAATGTAACATCTGTGAAGCATTCTACAGTGAAGTGCAACAACACAAGGTATTCCTGCGTGTACCTTGTTTATCCCTGTATTTGTATAAAGTAATTTTCTGGTGAAAGTGCAGGTGATTTCCATTTTCCCGCCGCGTTACGCAGCACTGCGAATTTCTCCAGCAGCTTGTTGCTCCTGGATTGTTTTCTGAAAAGAGGTACTACTGATAGCATCAGAAACATAAGTTTAATTTTAAACTAAGATTTGCTGCTTCCTGAATATTTAACTTCTTTTTTCTCACAAGTGATAGAAGCTAGACTTCAGTTATTAAATGGAACTCTTAACATACTCGTTCTCCTTACAGAATGGAAGACAAAGGAGAAGTGAAATGCATTAAGTTTTCCTTAGAAAACAAGATACTAGCTGTCCAGAGGACCTCAAAGGCTGTGGTAAGACATCCCTCTAAATATGGCATAAAGGAAGCATTTTTGCATAAAGGAAGCATTTTAGAAGTGTATCTGGAAGAGAATGAATTGCAGACTTCCAGTGTTAAAGGAGCCGCTTGTTATTTTAAAGCCATGAAAGCTGTAACTATGGAGCACTCCTGTATCAGCCTTTGGAGTTCTTGAAGAAAGACGTGAATGGATAAATACTGGTGACCTTAGTTTGTCCGTTTTATTTAAAAAACTAATTTGGAACCTCAGGCATCTCTTGTATGGATTAACAGCCAGCATAGATTGCGTGAGGTATAATCTTGGCTACTTTGTGAATCACCCTGTAAACTGGAGTAACTCCATGAAGTCACTTCTCTGAATGCTTGGTCTAATGGGAACAGGTGTTCATAGTTGGAGCAGTTTGTTGGCATTTTAGCCTTTATAAATATCCATCATCACATTTGCAGAGTAGAGAAAAAACTGTTGATAAATAGGCAGCACCCTCATTCCTTCCGTCAGTATCAATTGCTAACATTTTTGGAAAGCCTCTTGTGCAATGTAGAGAAGCACAGTTCTCTGAAATCAACCATTTGAATTAATTTTCCAAATCGGTTTCTAAACCCTCACTGAATATTTGGGTTAACTTTTTAAAAAATTGAATTGTCAGCCAACTGCTGTTAAGGAGGTAGATTGTTCAAATTGGTCTTTTTATTTTTCCTGTCTTTGGGTTTTTGTTGGTTTTTTCTAATCACTTTTTAAATGTACTTATCTTTTTCTTTTGTCTGTTGTGTACTAAAGTAGGTTGCTGCCTGATCCAAATTTATCCTTGTGTTTCTTTCTAGGAGTTTTCTAATTTCATCCCGGATAGCTCTCAGTTAGAATACACTCAAGAGTGCAAGGTACGGGCCGCGTCCTTTCCCCTCTGGTCTGTGTTCGGCTGGGGGGCTGGTAGCTGAGTGCAGACGGGAGAGGACAGTGCTTGTGCTGAGAGGTGCTGCCTGTGGGCTCCATGACCTGGACAAGCTGTGAGCCTGTTTCTTCGTCTGAAGACAGAGTTGGAGGATCACCTGGGTGGTGGGTGGCACTACTGCTGCTGCCCCGCCCTCTCTGGGGACAGACCTGAGCGGCCTCTTTGGAGGTTTGCAGAAGAGGAGTTTTTTCCTTTATTGGTGATGTTTGCTTCCTCGGTCTGACCTTGTCATGCCCCCTTTCTTCTCTTTGGTGTAGATTCTAGCCCATGTTCATCAGACTTGCTGGGTGTAATAAACGAGGCTGCAGCAGGCGCAGCTCAGATGGCAGGGTGGCCCCGGAGACTGGCAGGAGTTGCTAGTGGAAGGGGTGGCTCTAGGCATCTCTGTAGTGTGTTTGCTAATGGAGGTTCGGGTAGGCTCCTCAACGAGGAAAGAAACATCTCGAAGTAGCTGCCCCTTCACAGGCGCTCCCGCTCCTGAGCAGCTACGTGCAGGCCTAGCCTGCCTGCCCTTCGGCCCGGGCCCTGGTTCACCAAGGGAGTCGGGCTGTGGCTCCAGCTGCAACCCCACCTGGGTCAACACTCAGTGAGAACCTCTAGGCCTTTATACTTTTACAAGCTGTGTGACCAAGAGAGGTCAGCTGTCCTTTGGTCCTAAAGGGAGGAGCTGAGCACTGAGGGCTGGTCGGTTACCTTGCTGCTTCTCCTCCTGTTCTGCTGACTCGGGCACTTCCGTGGGTGCTCCAGGTGAAAATCCGGGGTCACTTTATTGAAAAGAAAGTTTGATTTGTTAACAGTAGCTTTCGTTAAAGAGCA